ATTAAAAAGAAGCATTGTTTGGTTGACAGCAGATAAGGATTTCAAGTGAAAAGTTCTAGAAATGTACCTTTTTTTATTGGGCGCATAGGGCTAGACCTATATTTTACAGATTAATCGATACTATGTGGTTGATGTGTTCAGCTTTAATTCCCATGATTTTTTTACCAGGTACCCACTCAAGACTCGGTCGATCTGGGAGCCAAGGTCATAAAAAAAAAGCCCGGTTGCTTCAGGACCCGAACTCACGACCTTCTGATCCGCAAGCAAGCGTCTAGCAGCTACACCACACCGGCTCCCCGAGCAAGTGATAGCTAGAGCATATTTATCTGCTTGTTTTTCAACTCTCTATAAAGCATAGGTCATCATCTAAGTCAGGGTTGCAGTTCATACTAAAGCCGTCCCCTTGTGGGATGCAATTTTTCATTATTTGAAGCCCCACCCTGGCTTTTTCCGCAGGCCCTGAATATAGCTGGGCCACAAATGTGGCCATAACGGCTGAAAGGGGTTTCTGTGACCTTTTCACGGGTGATCCTCATCCGCTTAGTGGCACTTTGTGTCACCGTGTGTTTATCACTCGTGTGGTGTCCTGGTGGGGTACAACTATCAACCAATTCAGGCCAACCCCTTTAAATTTTCTACAGGATCAGGCAGCTGTTCTCATACCAACCCTTCTTGTGGCGACTTGTAGTGTTGCCATTCTTTACTTCCAAAATGGTACCCGATAAGACACCAGGTTTAGATGCATAATCTGCTATATTAACAACGGTACGTCACGTTCTTGGGTTACAACAACACCAGATGGATTTACAATTAAAAAAAAAAAAATCTTATCGTTCACTTCTGAACCCTGACTAACACGGATACCAGGAATTATTCTGGGAAGTATAAGTGGCTGGCGTGATGCTGACATCCAATGAGTACGACCGGTCTAAAATATATAGACCTGGCACCATATTCCCGCTTAGCCTACTGTATGACAATGGCGTTTATTTTTTGTTCAACTTTAAGTAACATTTTGCATAAATGACACGCTGGGCAACAGGCTGGATTCAATATACAGTTTCTTAGACATATTGCGCACCTCCGGTTAATCACCACCTGTCTCTATCTGTATGTGTGTATGAATTTATGTATGTATGTATGTATGTATGTATGTATGTATGTATGTATGTATGTATGTATGTATGTATGTATGTATGTATGTATGTATGTATGTATGTATGTATGTATGTATGTATGTATGTATGTATGTATGTATGTTTGTATTTATGTATGTATGTATGTTTGTATGTATGTCTGTATGTATGTTTGTATGTATGTATGTATGCATGTGGGTAAATGGGGCTGTGTTTATATGTGTGTGTGAAGCATGTGGGTGTGTATATATGCGTGTTTAAGTGAGTGGGTGTGTGCATGTATTTTACCAACCATGCTTCTGTGTGCCCCCCCCCCCCTTTTTATATTCATAATATGCATATCATCATATGAATACAACATGCTTATAAAATACAACTGCAGTGAGACAGCCGGGTGTTTGGAAGGGCCGAATGTAAGACGGGCTAGCGTGCCCAATTTGTGACCCTTTAAAAAAACGAGTTCGTTCGTTCTCTCTCTCTCTCTCTCTCTCTCTCTCTCTCTCTCTCTCTCTCTCTCTCTCTTTAATTGAGAATTCATTAGATGTCAGGCGAATATTGTCAGATTCGGCAGTTAGATAATGGCAGGCGAGACAAGGTTTATTATAAGCGAACAAAGAAAGAGGCTGGGAGGACTTGGCTTATAATATGCTATCAAAGAGCCATGAGATGATTGATGTCCTGTTTGAGGTGACCAAGTCGTTCCAGGGTCAGAAAAAAAAAACATGTCAATATAAAGTTGGCGAACAAAGGAGCATAAACGTCGGCAATATTCTGGTAAGTGCATGGCCGCCTTTTAGTTTGTGAGTGAAGCTACGTTAAAAACAAGGAGAAGAGATGATTAGCGAATGAGAGAGAGAGAGAGAGAGAGAGAGAGAGAGAGAGAGAGAGAGAGAGAGAGAGAGAGAGAGAGAGAGAGAATGACAAAGAGACCGAGGGAAAGAGAGCAATTTGGCGTGGGGGCAGACCCGTGTCAGAAATGATTCAAAGTACGAGACAGAAATGACAACTAACAAACATGGACTATAGTAAGGAAATTTAATGAAAATTATTAAAAAGTTTAAGTCATTACATTTAACTTAAACGTTTATAAAAGTAAAACTGCTTTGCTAATAGTACCTGATCAACATGTTCCCCATATGGGTTCAGGGGCCCAATGTCGGGTGTGGGGGGCAGGGAATAAAAAAGACTCGCATTGTTTCCCCTAAACAAGCATGTCGTAAAAGTCAAATAACCGGAGGTTTGGTGAGATCGAATGTATTGGGGAAAGGCACAAATCAGTTGGTATAGCTGTAAACTACTGCCCCTTTTAGTCAAGATATTGTGTCCAGGGTATGCAGAGTGTTCGGAAATGAACAGAGAGACAGAACGGCTGGTTCAGCAACAATAGGTGGTAAATAATATGCATAAAATTGATTACTATGGTCTGGAGAGATCGGTACTGCTGGGAGTGATAGTAAGATCCAGTCGGCATGTAATGGTGTGAATTCCCGGGGAAATCCCAGAGAGTTCCCAATTGGGAGGACAAGGTCGGAGGACCAGTGATAGAAGAGAAAAACGGGATAAGTGGGTCTCGTGTACCTCATGTTGAGCAAAGTGAGGGACACAAGAAAAGCATGATATGTGAACGGAAGACGTGAACCGGGAGACAGAAGTAAGACGGTTAAAGTTCGGCCCTGACTGAGAGAGGACGCGTGAGTGGACGCCTGAGAAGAATAAATGATTTGTGAAACGAATGTTATATTTCAATAGGAGGACTGAATGTTTTTTCCACACGTCGTAATGTCAGGTACCAGGGTTCGTGAAGGATAGATGGATGGTTCGAGAGACGCTGATGAATTCCTGTAGTGTGTGAGAAGTCCGACCAGGTCGCTAGATTCAGCCAAGCAAGACGAGCACGAGGAAGCGAGAATGTATGTGTGCGATAACTGGCGATTCAACGAATTAAAGCAAGCAACTCAATATTCGTTCATGCTGTGTCGTTTCAACTCACTGTTCGTCTCTAAGCAATGCAAATTAACACATACCCCTAGCAGAGCATATGACACGGCACTCTACACACAGAGGACAAGCACGACGAACATAAAATCAAACTACTCAAGAATGGAACTCATCGCTGGCTGCTGATAATGACATAGCGTTTACATGAATGTCCCGACTGTTGTTATGTCAGTTCTTAACCCAACACTCAATTAGGGGGAGGGCGAGGGGCGAAGAAGAATAAGAAGAAGGAGAAGAAGGAGGCGATTAAGAGAAGGAGAAAAAGAAGATGAAGGAGGAGGAGGAGGAGATGAAGAAGAAGAAAAAAAAGAAGAAGAAGAAAAGAAGAAGAAGAAGAAGAAGAAGAAGAAGAAGAAGAAGAAGAAGAAGAAGAAGATGGAGCGTTTAAGAAAAAAATTTATTTTATAACACTGATGCATGACAACAACAATTATTATAACACTAATATGCCTTGGCTAGCGGCGTAGACAAGCACATTCTAATTAAAGAACGAAACGGTCATTTATCGCTTATAAACTGAGTATTTCCACCGTAAGCTAATAAAAATTGATCTGAAGGTCAACCAAATCTAATTTATGGTACCAGGAAATAACAGTTAAACTGACAGGTTGTGATGTTTACTATAACATCCCTTGAGCGACGTCCGGTATATAACATACATGAACCTTTCATTATGATTCTGATCCGTTGCTGGTGTGAAACGGGTCTTCTTTTACGTTGCTTACCAAACACCCCAAACGCATCAAGGCGTGGACAATTGTTCTTTATTCTGTATCATGAAGTGTAAAAGATTGAATCTTTACCCTAGATGACTTTCATTGTTGTCACAGGGCTCCAAAATCTTCTAAGTCTAAAATGGGTACCAGCAAATGTCATGGTAAGTAACTGAGGCAGCAGTGATGTTGACTAAACAACCTACACAGCAAAGATTGGCCTTTTGAAACATGTGTAGCCTCAAACTGCCCGATGCGCCAACAGTGATTAGCTAGTGCCTGGACAGAATAATATATAAATGGTATAACGTCGAGAATTAAATTCATTCTAGGCCGTCGAGAAATGAGCGGACCCCGGCGCTGGATACATGGTCATATTTAGGCACTGTGTAACACGCGCATTTGCGCAGAGAGGTAAACCTTTGGCAGAGGCAAAATTTCACAACTTATTGTTGACCGTGCTCTCCAGTAAACGAATACTGATGCTGAAGTTAAGCTGAGGAAAGATAAGCGTTAACAAAATGACTTTACATGGGCGTCTTACATCATCATAAATACGGACCTGACTGGATGGGGCACACAATGAAAAGAAAAACTAGAATATTCGTCCAGAGGATCTTACAAATCAATAGAGACAGAGAGACCAAAAAGCACACAAAGTAAAGAATTAGGAGACGCACATAAATAATATGTGCAGGAGCCGGAGGCTGCAGAAGATACATTTTTTTTTGACGTAGGTTGGTTGAGAATCTAAGCTCCAGTAGATGGATACAAGGAAAAGAAAAGGTTGTAGCAAAGACCCAGCCTGCTCCTATCTGCAGTAGTTAGTGGAGGTAGAAATATACATACAGGGGCAGAAATAATGCATGCGAGCGTTCCAAAGACGCTGAGACAAAAGGAGTCATAGACGATGAACCGCTTGTTGGAAACCGGTTGTAAAAGAAAGAAATGCCAGTAAACCTATACTTGGTACTGTGAGCGTGGAAATACTATGGCTACTGTATCGTAGGACGGAGTACGAATGGGTCGGTCAGAAGTGCTGGAATGTCCATACGGACAAAATGTAACAAGTAAAAAATTTAGACCCAGAGTTAGAAACACGTACTTACAAATGTGTGCATCGCGCGAGCTGCAGGCAATGATGGAGTGCGTTCTAGTGCGTGAGGCTTCTGGGCTCCACCGCTGAACGCATGTTGTGCGACATAATGGGATAGGAGACTAAAGTTGTGGAAGGCGCGCCAAGGTTTTGTGTCAGAGAATGGGCCACTTGCAGCTGGGGCATGGATGCCATGGATACGGCTATGTTACTCTGAGTCAGTGCCAGGGCGCTAGCCACATTTTGCGTGATGGTAACCGTCGGTGTCACAGCCATGGCAGTTTGGGCGGATCGAGTCTGGGCCATTCCGCCTCCGGCTGCTGCCAAGCGTTGGGCGGCTATCGCGTGCTGGGTGGCCAGGTCGCTGTTGAGGGCTACTTGTTGAGTGAGAGATGGATTTAACTGACTCATGCTAGCCTGCGCGTGGGCAGTGTTGACAGCTGCGTTAATGGCAACCGTAGGAAGTGCCTGTTGGTTAGCCGGCACCTGCAGTGCAGCTGTGACTTTGCTGACTCGATACCGAGCGTTCTGCTCGAGAAGAACTTCATTTATCGCTGTCAAGTCAGAGACCTGCTTCTTTAGTTCTTCCACTTTCCTCTTCAGCATGGTCACTTCCTCGTCCAGAAGCATGTAGCTAATTACCGAACGACCCGTTTCGTACTCGTCCTCAACTCTGCGTCTCTTCACTTCTGGAACATAATCGTAGTATCTCTCACACCGTCTTTCATACTCCACTGGACTATTGTCAGAGGCATGCCGATATTTGCACAAGGATCCACGCTTACACTCCCCATTAAGGTAGTCTCTACAGAGTGGAATGTCTGATTTGAGAGCCCCGAAGGGCGTCAGATTAGAATAGTTCAGCCGAGACGGCAGCAACCCGGTTCTGTGAAAGTATTCCTCCTCAAAACGGGTACAGTGTAGAAACTTGCAGTTGGGTCGCGTACAGCCGTTGTTCTGGTAGTCATGACAGAAGGTAAGGTCTTTGCGCGGTGATGGATTTGGCCGGTCGTCCGTGCTAGGATGCCGATACCGGCAGCGTTTTCCCCTGTTACACACATTCCGCATGTAGTCCCGGCACACGTCGTCCTCATAGTGATCGCCATCAGCCCTTCGTCTAGAGCTGCCGTTAAGTGTGCTTGTGTCCTCGCTCCCAGAATCGCTTTTGTTAGACATTATCAATAAAGAACAGCGTTAGATTATGATCATAAATATGATATCCGAGTCAACAAAAAACAGCACACCGAACAACGATACAGCAACAGCAGAACGTTGGCTCACATAATTGCGCTAAGGTGTAGTAAAGTCCGAACACAAAATGTGCATGCAATGATAATACAACACAGACGCTGCCTGTATACTATCTCTACAGATGGCAAGTCAAAAACGGTGCTTGCTGCCTTTAAGTGAATACAATATTCACAAGGTAGTTTTCATCTGATTAATAACAGAGTGCCTGCTGGCAGAAGGACGCAATTGAACTATCTACCGCTGCTGCTGCTTAGTCTGCTGCTGCTCGCAGTTTCGCTCATGCAACCTCCACAGGACTGTGTTGCAGTTTCTTTCTCCAGCGTTAGTTCTCCTGAAACGAGAGAACATCAAATGTGAACCACTCGGCTACAAGGATTTTTTACGAACACCTGTCAACAAACCAACCAACGCAACGTATCTACTGGCACTTTCTTTAGTGACAAGTCATATCATTGTCATTGCACAGTGGGAATAGAACACAGTTTTATATTAACACCAACGACGCCACACTGACACAATTACGCTGCATAACTACAATGATACTACCCTAACGACAAAGAGGTCACATTAAACACAATGATTCTACATTGATAGTAAACCAATGACTCTTAGCTTTGGTTGGCAGCTGGCGTAGATGGGAAGCCGACAGGCGGACAGAAAGAGCACTGCTCTTTTGATCCGGTAGTTTTTGCAGCATGCTTTATTTCAAAAGTATTGGTGATCTTTTCTTTGGAGTTAACGAAGCAGCCCGAGTGAGCAACTCATGGTACCTACTCAATTAGCCATAGTGTGTTCTATTGAGAACACGAACTTCACCCCTGACCTTAACTGACATCGTCATGGGATGTGACTGCCATGCCTCCAGATAAAACAATGAAACACTGTTGTCTGGAAAGAAGGAGAAGTACCAACTAAACACCAATAACAAAAAAACAAAAACACTTCTTAAACACAATGACGCTACATTACTACATTGATACGACATGATTAAACAAGATGATTTATTGAACACAACGACGCTACGCTACTATAATGAAACCACGTCAAAAGCAATGATGCTACCTTACTACAATGACTCAGCACTAATGATAATGATGTGAAGTTACTGATAACAATGTTACAATATCTATTTTAGGGATTCATAACTGACAATGGCGCTATATTCCATGGCTCTTTCATTATTATATTTTAAAGATAAGCCAAAATGAAGTCCAAATACGTTCTATTAGTATTACTAGTTAAATTATTATTAGCATTGAGAAAAATGTTGTAATATCAACAACAGACTGCATATAGTACAAGATCACACAAACACGTAACAGCATGACCCTTTGCAACTAAAGCAATCTATACTATAAATCGCTAATATTTTCTGGATACTTTGTGTTATTATTAATGAAGTGTTAACTCCTCCAAAACCATGAACAATATACGGGTTATATTGTTATGTGCCCTTATGACTATAGTGTTTAACAGTCACATTGGTGAGCCATGTTCATGTCTATATTTATTGCGACAATCAGTAAAAGTAAACTTTTGATGGAGTTAAACCTCTTTGAATTTGTTTCTATTACTTCCCTTGAAAAAATAATTTTTCAAATCTATCTATCTTCTTTTACCCCACCAGGACATCACACAAGATATAAACACCCGATGACACAAAGTGCCACCATGTGGATGGGGATCACATGTGGAAAGGTCCCAGAGTAGGGCTTCAAATAACGAAAAATTGCATCCCACATAAGGGTGCCAAAGCAGCAATTTTTCAAATATTATATTTCGCTGTTATCATCCCTGAAATCACACATCTAAATGTTTCTGAGACAATGCATTTGTCTGTCTAACTGTTAAATTCCGGCGTTAGCATTACATAAGATGCCTCGGGCGCAATTAGGGGCAATGACTAAAGATGTGGTAGCGGTGGAGACACCGAAGAATGTGGAAAAAAGGAAATTAAATACAGGGTTTTAGTTAGACCTCTGTTTCAACAAGGCCTACATTTAGGGCTGCTGTGGAGATCAAGATGAGGTAGGGGACAGTAGAATACAAATTTCTTTCACTATATCACGGTCGAAGGCGGGCAATGAAATATACAGTAACCTATAAAACAGTTTGGGGAAGCATATTATCAAGAGGACACGTCGCTTGCCTGCTCGTCTGGTTGTCACGCGTTCGAATCCACTTCGCGTTTGAGATTAAATAAAAAAACCGACCTTGGCAAGCCGACCAAGCCTAAAATCATGGAATATTCAGGGAAATAAAAGAATCCATTGCGATAGACAGACAGAAATTATGATACACACGGACAAGGCATCAGCAGCTTTTAAAAGCTTAAAGAAAACGAGGAACTCTAAATTATATAGTTTCAGAACAACGCAGCATCAATTCTAATGTTATTTCAGTGAAAACTGGAGAACCACTGAGGACAGGAAACGATATTTAAATGCATTCGAAAACAAATGCCTGGAGAAAATGATGAATACAAAATAGGATGCATCCAAGAGAAATGAAGAGATAAGAGAAATTTCTGGGCAACCTCTTGTGTCAAACAGTTATAAGACAGAGAAGAAATAAGAGAAATTTCTGGGCAACCTCTTGTGTCAAACAGTTATAAGACAGAGAAGAAATAAGAGACATGTCTGGACAACCTCTTGTGTCAAACAGTTATAAGACAGATAAGAAATAAGAGACATGTCTGGGCAACCTCTTGTGTCAACAGTTATAAGACAGAGAAGAAATAAGAGAAATGTCTGGGCAACCTCTTGTGTCAAACAGTTATAAGACAGAGAAGAAATAAGAGACATGTCTGGACAACCTCTTGTGTCAAACAGTTATACGACAGAGAAGGCGGCGCTACACTGAACACATTCTGAGAAGAGACGAACCTCTAGAACCACCAAACAGGCACTGAAATGGGAAATAGTGAGACTGGGAAAACGAGGACGTCCAAGGAAAACTCGAAGTGGAATGCTGATGAAAGAAGCCAAAACAGCTAGGCTAATTCCATCTACGATATCGAGGCGAAACCACAGGTTAGAACCTAGTGGAGAAATAGACAGCGAGCCATATATGGCACATAATGGTACAACAAGGTAATGAATGAATGGTGATACTGACCCTATCGCTGTCGAATGCCACATTTTAACCATATAACTATAAGGATAGGACTAATTACCCACAAGTCGCCAGTACTTCCAAGAAAATTTCCTAGCAGCCAGGTCTAGCACCACAAAGGAGTATATTTATCTCCAGTGTCTTTGATTCTTACCTCTACGTCGGCTGCACTGCTGCAAAACACTAGCCTGAAGTATAAGATTGTTCGGAACCCAATCCCTTATAAATATCTATTATAACACTAGCGTACCCACAGGACTGATAAACTGTGCAGAGAAAGCGCTATGGCATAATAACAAGATCTTCAAGCCGCATAAAATACCAACATGAAAACCTGATCAAATCACACAGAATGCCGCCAGTTGCAGCCCCAGGTCGGCTGTTATTTCTTGAACACGGCTCACGATACTGTCTTCGGACTCGTAAAAGGACATAGTGATGAAGACAGACACAAGGGGTCGCATCTCAAACTTCATAACACATTATAAGATCATCTGTCAGAGTACGACATCTGAAACAGAATCCCGGCACTCAGGGCCTGTCTCAAACCGCTCCGTCTCCCCGACTGTTCTAGATTTTGCATTATCACTGTAGGAACAATTGTAGATTTTTAGTATCTGTGCGTCTTTTCTTAGCCATGCCAAGCACGGCATTTATCTCATACGCATGCTTCTTTGGTGTCAGTGACGTAGTCTAGTCGTTTTTGGATTGCATTTAAGACCCGCCCAACAAATCTCAGAATGCGTCAGCACACATATGGCCTTGACTGAGAGTGGCCCAAGCAGGTACGGCAAGGTTTTTATAGACGATCTCCAAGCGCTGCTTAGGACGACTGCATTTAAGTTATTTGAGGGTCTCCATGGCGATTTGGTCAACTGTATGCCTCTGGCTGTAAATGTCGTGGGTTAGTTTCATGGATCACTCGTTCAGTTAACGAGTGCATTTTAGTCAGATCACCAGGGAACGTCGCTGGAGCTGTGGAGTTCGTACTGAGTACGACGCTCTAGGTAGACGGCTAGATATTCTGCGCAGATAGACCGAGCCATATGGCATTAAACCTGGTGCAATGAAGTCGATGATCTCGACCTGACTTTAGTTGTAGTTAGACTGAAATCTGTCGTACTGTTGCTGACATAAAGTTAGTTGAATGATACAGAAACAAGCATGTCGTAAGAGTCGACTAATTAGGGGCTTCCTTCGAAGTCTGGGTGCATCTGCCTGAGAGGCGAGGAACCCACGGTCTGCGTACAAACAAGACAGATTTGATAAAAGCAAAACTTATGTTCTGAAACAAGGCTAAAGTCCAGAAGTGGACGAATAACCAGAACTTTCCGCCGGAGTTTACAGCTAGGGGATGTAAAAAAAAAAAAAAAAGGGGGGGGGGGGGGGAGAAAGCCAGAAGATCCATCATTTTCGAAATAGCTTGAAGAGGACATTTAGTTCACTTACCTCTATGCCTCTGCGCTCTACTTGTGACCAGTGCTTTTAACTAAACTGACATGACCCAGTGTGAACAAGTAAAAATTGCCATTACCAATAATCCCGGTCATCAAAGGCATAAATATATAATCTGATGTTTATTCACTGACATCTTCAGGAGCCCTACGGCAGTATCAGTGCGCCTGTATCCTTTTATTATTCCCAGAAAAACAACAGATGTTTTCAAATCGTATCAAGTGACCTGCGTGGTCCCAAGTTCAACTAATTGATCGTCAACCAATTGATCTCTTTTCTAAATATAATTACAGCAACAAACGAGATTCAGCAGCAAATTACATGCCCCGGCCCTGAATGGATTCACGTTTGATGCA